TATATGCATAATGTTTTATATATACACTATATGATATATATACACACACATATTTTATATATATATATGTATATAAAACATTGTGCCCATTAGGGAGAGCACACCAGCCCCCTCCCTCCTCCCCTCTCCTCCTCCCTCGAGAGCTCTCCCCTTCCCCCAACTTGAATTGAATCGCATTTTCTCTTGTGTGGGTATATCAGTTCATCTACTGGCTTCATATTAGAATTGAGTACTCTGGATTCTTCCTCCTCCATTCTTGTGATGCTTTACTAAGAAGGGTGTATTTCAACTCCATCCAGGTTAATACAAAAGATGTAAAGTCTCCACCTTTTTATTGCTGAATAGTATTCCACGGCATATATACATATATATACACACACCACAGTTTATTAACCCATTCATGGGTTGGTGGGCACTTGGGTTGACTCCTTATCTTGGTGATTGTAAATTCAACTGCAGTCCCTGATAAAATGATTTTTTGTTCTTCTTGGTAGAGGTCAAGTAGTGGGATTGCAGGATGAAATGGGAGATCTATTTTGAGTTCTTTCAGGATTCTCCCTACTTCTTTCCAAAGAGACTGTACTGGTTTGCAGCCCCACTAACAGTGTTCCCCTCTCTCCACATGGAAACTAAGACTTTAAGTAAAACAGTGTACACTGTGGGTCCTCAGATGACTTCATGTCATTCATGGTCATTTCATTATAACAGTAATGAGGAAACAATTTGTTTTGTTTTATGTTATTCTCTTAAGGTTTTAGTTTCCGAGAGCTCATTGATGATGTTAAGGAGGCTCTTTCTCTCTCTCTCTTAAGTTCATGTGTGTATATATACATCATCTCTCTTCCCCATGATCTTCCCTGTACAACTTCTCCCCACGTGCCAAAGAGCCATTCATTCGCTTGTACAAGCAAGTCTTTCCCTTTAAAGGAAAGTATTCTTTGGCCCCTTGAAACTGCAGCAAACTACTCTGACGGCCTCCTGGGAAACCGTTTCTACCTCTGTAACATGGGGGCCTTGTCCTCTGACAGCTCCTTCCCTTCCCTTCTGTGTCTGTGTCCATTTGTTCTATTGATTCAGACTATTCATCCAGTGAAAAGAAATGACGTCAAGTTACACCTTCCACCGAAACATTAGTGTGTTGTTAATGCTTACCAAGAAAGAAAAATAAAAATGCCCTGATGTTTCCGGCTTATTTTCACCTCAAGATGTCATAAGCAAAAAGAGATGTTTTAAGTACAGCATGGAAAGATTCGGTTGATTAGACATGAATTAGGTTTTTCTGCCTCTTGTATAAAGGCTCAGTCTTTTAAATGGGGCATTCAGCTATTAGGCATTAACCCATCTGTTTTGTTTTTCCATCCTGCTTCAGAAGGCTGACACACCAGTCTCATAGCGAAAGTCCTACCAAAAGCTGGTCTTTTCTTTAACACTGTGCTCTGACTACCACCAACTGAGTCCCATCTAGAAATGCTCAATTAGAATGCTATGTCCCCAAGTGCTTAGAAGCCTCCCAGGAGTCCAAATCCCCCATTCCTTTACCCCGACCTCCTCCCCACTACCTGTGCTGCTGCTCCCTCCCTAACACAAAGTGCCCTGTGCAGCCAAGGAGCCTCTATGATCCTCCGTGGAGACACCAGCGCTTTGCTCATTCCAGGCTCCCTATGCTGAACTTGCTTATGAGGCCTAGACAAGTTGTGACCTTCCCCAGCAAGTCCTGCTTCACCAGAACAGCTGAGTGATGACTTATCTTTTGAATTTGGAATATGCAAAGATCTAATAGTTAACAACACCATGTGGCACATGTCTGAAGCCAAATGGACACAAGGACTAACATTTGATCAAATGGCACCAGCAGTTCCCGGGAGCAGGTGGCAGGATTCTACAGGGCACACTCGGTATGACACACTGACTGGACACCAGCAGCTCCCAGGAGCAGGCAGTGGGATTCTACAGGGCACACTCGATATGGCACACTGATTGGGGCCACACTGAACTACCTGTGGATCTTTCTGTCCATGGGGTTTGTGAGATTCTCAGGAGACAGAAACCTTTTTTCTTGTAAATTCAGATTCCCCTGCAATAACTAACACTAATGTTGTTGGACAAACAGAAAATACACAGTAGATACTGACTGATTTGGCCAACAGGGAAGCTGAGAATATTACAGGGTTGAACAGACAAGTGAAATCATACTAAAACAATAAATCAATTAAGATGGCACTGAGAGTCAGAGCAACCATATTTTCAGTAGATTGAATGAGATCTCATAGAACACCGTCTGGGGAGGGAATGGGTAGGTGGATGGAATCAGAAGATCAGTTTCCTTTCCTTCCTTCTTTCTTTTTTTTCTTTTTTTATCAGACACAGTCTCACTCTGCTGCCCAGCCTAGAGTGCCATGGGGTCAGTCTAGCTCACAGTAACCTCAAACTCCTAGGTTCAAGCAATTCTCCTGCCTCAGCCTCTCAATTGTCTATGAATACAAGTACTCAGACTACCACCTGGCTAATTTTTCTAATTTTAGTACAGACGGGTTCACACTCTTACTCAGGCTGGTCTCAAACTCCTGAGCTCAAGGGATCTTCCTGCCTCTGTCTCCCAGACTGCTGGGATTACAGATGTGAGCCACCGCACCCAGCCCAGAATCACTTTTCAGTTGGCCTTAGAGGTCATCTGATGCAAGCTATCTTTTTAGAGATGAAGAAGTGGCACTGGAAGTCTCCTAAACAGAGCTGGAAGGCCAGAGCTGGACACCAAGTACCCTCAGTCCTGACTCTGTCCCTCTCACACCCTCAGCAGCTTTGCAGCAAAAAGGCCTGGGTCTTTCTTACCAGGAGGGAGACATCCTTCAGAGTCCCGTCCGCAGTGAACAGTAACGCACTTTAATGCTGTTTTGATGGTGTGTGACACCGCTCATTGCAGCTATATCGTAATTGCTTTATTTCCTCTCTCTCATTCATGCAACATTTGATAAATACTAACACATTCTCCAGACAATGAGGTGGGGAGGCAGCAAGGGCGCTATATTAACAGGGTAACTGGAGATCAAATAACTAAACCCTTAATTGAGCAACTAATATCTTTTTTCTCTTAAACATTTTTTTGTGTGATTGTTGTCCGTGTCCTGACATTACTGTTCTAGCTCAGGTTACATCAAAGCAGTGCTGGACAGCATCGCCGTGTATTTCTGTAATGCATCCCTCCACTCCACAAATGCTGAGCCAGCACCTGTGACATGCAGGCCCTGTTCCAGGAACTGGGGACAAGCACATGGATAAAACTCCGTCTCTGTGCTCTGGATTACATGTGGAACCGAGAAGTCTAATAAAGAGGTAGTAAGAGCTGACTCGAAGGCCAGGGGATTTCAAAGCAGGGACAAATTCCCCCCATTCCCTTAACTGGGAAAATCACATTAATAAGACCGTATGTGTTTATAAAGCAATATCCACAGAAATCAGAATGTTCTCAATTTCCCTTTTAGATAATTCCTTTCTATTCATATTTACTTATTCTAACACTGGGTTGTCTCAGGACTAAAAATGAGATGTTTTTAGTGCTAATTTTAAAAGTTTTCTCTGATGAGCAAGTTTCATCAAAACACTGCCACAAGGGAGGTAATAACTAACAGCACAGCTCGGCGTGTTCAGCGCATTCACAGCTCCCAGTGCATTTTCACAAATACCATTTCCACAGAGCTCATCTGGTCAGCAAGGAACCCCGAAGAGCAGGGTCAGTCCACTGTCCTCCTGGGCCTGTGCTGCCATCATCACATCCACTGAGCACAGAGGTCACTGAGGAAGGAGCACGCAGGGTCAGTCTGCTGTCCTCCTGGGCCTGTGCTGCCATCATCATGTCCAATGAACACAGAGGTCACTGAGGAGCACATGGGGTCAGTCCACTGTCCTCCTAGGCCTGTGCTGCCATCATCACATCCACTGAGCACAGAGGTCACTGAGGAGTAGGCAGGGTCAGTCTGCTGTCCTTCTGGGCCTGTGCTGCCAACATCACGTCCACTGCCCACAGAGGTCACTGAGGAGCATGCAGGGTCAGTCTGCTGTCCTTCTGGGCCTGTACTGTCATTATCACATCCACTGTGCACCAAGGACTCCAAGGCTCAGAGGAGTGTGGTGAGTGACAGTGACAACTGACATTTGTCAGACTTTTTAGACAAAAGGAAAATTGCTGGCTAAGCCTCCAATCTAAAATAACTTACAAGTTATTACACTTGAAACTCATGTTCCCACTGGCGTATGTTCTCTTGAAAACAGAATATGCCCTGGCAGCAGGCAGAGCAGGGGGATCCCCCATTCCCTTACACCCTCCCGCACCACCACATTCCCAGCACAGGCAAAGCTCTCGTCTCTCACCCTCCGTTCCCAAGACAGGATCAAAAAGGAGGTTTGTGCTCCTCTCTCCTAAAAAGCCAAAGCCGCTGAATTATGTCCTTCAAGAGTATCTGGACTTTAAAACCTTGTTACACCTCCACAGCGGGGAATCTGTATTCTGACAAACGCAGGCCACTGGCCGTTAGGCAGAAGGAATTTGAGGGGGTGACAGGGACTCCGATGCTGTTGCAGCTCTGGGTGCCAACTTTCCGGACATGGTGGCTCACAAAGGCCTCTGAGCTCATCTTCAGGTCACAGACAGAAAGGGGAGCTGGCCCCAGTGCATCCTGCACTGTGTCCCTGAGAGGCCCTGGGAGGATGAGCAGTGACAGATACAAAAGCAGAGAAATCCCACTGAGTGTCCAGGGGACTGAGTGTCCAGGGGATGAGGCACAAATTCTCAAAAGCGGAAGACCCTGGGACGCAGCCAGAGCCTTGAAGGATGTCCCCTCATCCCCTCCCCACCCGCTTTCTTGGCCTGACGTCAGATGGTACAGGCTCAACCCTGTGGTTCTTAAATACTGCCCCAAGCCTAGAAGGGAGGTTCCTCCAGTCCCGTGTCCAGCACGCACTGCTGGCCCCTGCCTTGAAAGCCCCATGTGAGAAGCGGTGCTTACCTCGTAATGGGCCACACGCTGAGATTCAGATATAAGCTGTGCGCTGCACACCTTGCAATAGCTGTCTGTGAATAAATCCTGATCGATATCGGAGGACTTCATCAGGCTACAAGAGAACCAGAGGAAAAGAAAAGACAGTGAGGGCGCTGCTTTGATGCGTGTGTGGGACGCTAACCGTGCGAGCGGCTGGCATCTCAGGGACAGGGCTGACGCGGGCAGCAGCCCAGTAGGTCTCCCGAAACCCCTGGTGCTACCACGTAACTCAGCACAATCAGCGCACAGATTACAAATGCCCAATAGGGCTGCTGTGCCCCCCAAAAAACAGGAACCCAGCTTTAGTTTTCCTGTTTGAGCAAACGAGACTTATATCTAATGCCTTGTTAAGAATTCACGTGAGCTGATTTTTCACATGTGATATATATTGTAATGTTATCAACCACCAATAGATCCAACAATGGAAAATAGGTCAAATGAACTTTGCATACATTATCACACTAGAACACTACGTAGCTCTCAAAGCCAGATTCAAATTACATCCTTCTCTAAGACAATATGTGGTAAAATGGAAAAAGGTTTACCATCACCAAAAGAGGTTTATAAATAAGTATGTATAATATTATGCTAAATTTGTTTTAAAATGCTTATAGATGCATAGAAAAATAGTCCAAGAAAATATAACAAAATTTTAATTAACAGTCATCTTTGGGAGAATATAGAAAATTGCTTTTGTAATTTCCTTTTTTTTTTTTTTTGCAGTTTTTTTGGCCGGGTCTGGGTTTAAACCCACCACATCCGGCATATGAGGCCAGCACCCTACTCCTTTGAGCCACAGGTGCCACCCTGTACTTTCTTTTTTTAAATAATTTCCTACAACAAACATAATTTTGTAGTCAAGGAACAAGAGCCTTATAAACGATATAAAATCGAGTTTTGAGTTTAATAGCTATGACTTGAAAAATTAGAAAATAAAATCAGCTGAAACAAGAACTTTCTTTGCACCCTCACACGTGTAACATGAGGAGACCTCCCCATTCACACTGACCTTCCTGTGTGTAGGGGTGGTGAAGATCAGGAAGGCCACCTCTACCACTTTGTACCACAATTGAACCCACAAGGTAAGTAAGTGTATTCTCAAATTCCAAACCCTGAATCAAGATATAGCCTGGAGCCACCGGCCTGTGGCAGTGATCTGTCAGACATGTGTCCTCCCGTAGCTGAGTGTCAGGTTACCACCCTAGAAACTCATACCAGAGCATCAGATTGCCTTCACCCAGCCCACAGATTCCACTTGGCTTTACAACCCCTACCTGCCAGCCAAAAAGTGAGGACATGCCAGATAGTACATTGTATGGCCGGCAAGACAGTCTCAGACAACAATGACACAGCAGGCACACTGGGCGGTGTCCCGTTCCAACGCACTCGTCTTACCTGTCAGACTATCCCCAGACACATGGCTCACTGTTGGCACAGCCAGAAATGCCACCTGAGCTGTGTGGTCCTAATTTCCACACACTAGATCCATTTCACACACCACCTAATATTGAGTGACTTGCTCAACCTTCTATCTCAGCGTCCCCCCCCATAAAATCTGAAATAATTATTTGCCATGCCTCTTTAGAGAAATACAGTGAGGATCAAAGAGGAACATGTGAGGTGACTCTCTGTACTTAAAACTCTCTGTACTTAAAAGGAGTTATTATCATATTTTTAATACCATCCCGATGTTGGCAAGATGCTGGGTGAGTTTTAAGTAACACAAAAAATGGATTGTGGTCTACGTTATGTGATTTTTTTAAGCCATTTAAATAGCTGGGCCACATAAGTAAAGTGTCTGCCTATGATTAAAGGCTGAGCACCTTCACAACACCAGACTCACTCCTGTCCTTGGTCTTGGCCAGCTCAGCCCACTCAGGGCATTTGTATTTAGCAATTCAAAAGGATTCACAGTTTCTGCTTCTAGGAGACAATAATGCCTCTGGTTTTTCAGTACTCCCAGCAACAAAGAGTTATGCCAGATACCATGGAGTCTCACAGCCGATGTGGACCTGCAATTTCTGGAAAAAATAACTTCTGGCAGATGGCCTGGTTGGCCTGGAGTCCAGTTCCCACTGTGCCTGGAGGTTCACAGCCTCCCTCACAAGGCAAACAGTTTCAGAGAGGCTGGAAGCTCTGGCTGTTAGGTTTTACCTAGTTTGAATAAAAAATCTATACCATACCATGTTAGGTTTCATTTCTTCATTCCACCTCTGTATACAACACACAGCAACACTACTCCCCCTTTTTCATGAGCTATCCCCCCTTAAGAACCGGTCTCCAATCTACTCGCAAGCCCAGCCTTGCCTTACCATCTTGGTCAGTGTCTATTTCACTGTGCTCTGTCCTCAAAAAGCCGTGCCAAGAACAGAACAGGGAGCTACCGACATGGTCTGAGGCAGAGGATCTCAGATCCAAATGGCAACCTGAAATACCCATTGTCATTTGTGACGTCTCTATTCACATCCCAGAATGTAAATGGAGAAGAGGTGTTTTGATGATGGGGAAAAATGCAGTACAGCATTTTGAAATGTCAAACGAGATGAGGAGACTTGCTAGAGAACATTTTACAAGCCTGGCTCCTGTGAGGGGTTGTGTTTAAACATTATCATGTTCCCTGCTATTCCTAATAAAGAAAACCCACGAAAATAGATTCATGGATGACCTGGTTAATAGGAATCTCCAAACTTACTGCACACTCCTCCCTCATTACACAACCAACTGCAGAAATCAAACACTGTGAAAGGATATTCAAGGTACGTGTTGGACCGAGTGGTGCCCGTAGGAGTCTGAGTCTCGAGCAAGCAGCTGTGCAGCAGAAATAGCTTTAAAGGCAGAATATAAAATGTGTATACTAAAAAAAAGAATTCAAAGGAAGAGAAAATATCATGGCTTTTTCCACTGTTTATGTAAGAATATTGATTTGAACGAGTCCACATGTGATTAAAGAAAAGGCAATGAGGACCCTCTGAAATCTCTGACACCTAAAAGGGAAACCTGAATAAGGCAAATTCCAGGGGGAGGCAATTAGCACCCAGGCGTCAGCCTGGTCTGTGGACGTGGGCTTCCCTCCAAGGAGGGAGAACGCTCTCCGCGTAGGTCACTCCAGACAACCAGAGGGTCCTGTTTATGATTTGAACGCTGGAATTCCCAGGAAGGAAGGCTGCCATTTGTTCCCCTCCTCTGGTTTGTTTAGAATAGGATTTTAGCTTCCCCGGACCTCGGAAGCACAGGCAGGCAGAAAGCAAAAGAAAGAAAACCCAGACTGCCTCCTGTAGCCTTGTCCATGGTGCTGACGAGCCAGCCGGCGTCCAGCAGCAGCTGGGGTAGAGACGGAGTCACTGAACACCACTGTTCAGTCCACACTGGCCCATCAGAAGCAGCAGGTGATAACCACCCCAAGGACATGCCCGTTGTGCTTTGCCATGAGGCTGAGGCCTCGGGACATTCTCAAGAGGGATCCGAGATAAGGGAAGGAAGGGATTTGATTTCCTGGATCCCAAACTGATCTGAAAGAAAGCTTCCTCCATGCTCCCTCGCCCGGGCACATCCCACAGCAACCACAGAGGATCCTAACAACCTCTCTTTCACTTCTCAGTATTTACCACCTGCTGTGGAGTAAACAGGTCCAGAGTTAGAGCCAGGAGTCCGACCCCAATCTTAGGTGCTGCCCCCAGTGTCCATATTCCTACAGGTCTATTTATGTGTGTGGCAGTTACAGCGTAGGACTCATAGAGACACAGCCAAGTGTGGGAGGGGATCTTTTCTTTATTCTGCAGTGGTTCTGAGTATCTGCTCTGTGCAGGGCACAGGACACAGGACAACAGAAAGCACAACCCCTGTCTTCCAAGTCTTTTTGAGCTGCTGAATGAGAAGAGACACACACACCGATGCCTAAGGCCCAGGAAGCAGGTGCAGGTGCACTGTGGCTGGTGAAGAGCTCTGTGGGGTGTGAGGAGACAGGAGGGATAATTAAGGAACTCTTCAAGGAGACGCTATTAGGGTTGAAAATTTGAGGGAGGATAGGATTTGAGTGGAGGGAAACGGGTTCCAACACAGAAGCTAATTCTCTTCCCTGGCACAGAGAAAAACCTTACTACCAGTAGGCATGAAAGATACACAAGAGCAGCATTGGTCGGGCTAATTCGGGATAATGCAACATAAGGGGGGAGGCAGAAAATGCACGGGGGAGGAGACGCCTGAGACCTAGATGGAAGGAGAAGAGACTGGGGAGAGCAGCGAGGCCCCGAGACGCTTCCCAAGTTGCAGAAAAGGCCTTTTGGGATCCCCAGGTGCAGATAGGAAGGAGAAGAGACTGGGGGAGAACGGAGAGGCCCCAAGACGCTTCCGGAGTTGCTGAAAGGGCCTTTGGGAGCCTCCCTTCTCATGTCCTCCTTCTCGAGAGCAGATTGCAGGGACACAGACTAAAGCCCCAGAGAACCCCGGGGCTTTGTGGAAGAGTCCTATTCTTCATCCATTCCATTTCCGACTCCATTTCAGGATCTCCAGATCCAGGCAGTGCACGTCAGAGACCAAGACTGGGTTCTGCAGCAAGTCCCATGTCCTTGCTGAGCCCTGGTTTCCTAATTTGCAAACAGAGGGAATGAATTCTCACAGGGCTGCTGTGAGGACTGGCAAATAACGTAGACAAAGCATCTCACCCAGACCAACAGACACAGATGACAAGCACTCAGAAAAGGAGATTGCTACCACGTCATTAATACCATTAATTCAGTGTTACCATTATTATCTTCAGAGGAATGCTGTAAATGTTTAAGAAGAGAAATAAATAGAAACCCATGAAAGACTGAGTCAGTGTACGGAAATCATAGTTTTTACTGCTGTGACAGTCTCCCCCTTCTGTATTGACACCACCGTCCACAGAATCGCTGGCTTCCACTTACACACGGCTGGCTTCCACTTACACACGGCTGGCAACTCCCCTGCCAGCTGACACTGAGACCTCCTGTCTGCAAAGACCCCATACTTCATAATGCTGAAAATCTACTTTTGTTCTCCAGAGGTGCTGGATCCTGGCAGAAAGAGGGGCTGTATACGGGGTTTTCTAAGAAC